CGGACTTTGGGAGGCAGATGTGAAGTCTGCAAAGCACCTGTTCCTTCGGACGGTCGGCCAAAACCTCTTGACCGCGGAGGAGCTCGTTACTCTCCTCACCAGCGTGGAGGCCGTGCTGAACTCCAGACCTCTGGGAACACTCAGCAACGACCCAAACGTCTGCGAAGCCCTGACACCCGGACATCTGCTCATCGGCGGCCCCCTGCTGGCCCCAGCGTCAGAAGCACTCCCGGACCAAATCAATCTGACCTGCTTGGGTCGATGGCGAGGTGTCTTGTCGCTCAAGCACAAGTTTTGGCAGCGATGGTCCCGGGAGTACATCTCCAGCCTCCAGCAGAGGTCCAAATGGCACAAGGAGGAGACAAATCTCGCCGCGGGAAAAATGGTCGTCGCCGCAGAGGACAACCTTCCACCCCAGCAGAGGAGGATCGAGCGAGTGGAAGCGGTCCACGCCGGCGCCGATAAAAAGGTTCGGGTGGCGGACGTTCGGACTCAGGAAGGACTCTACCGGAGAGCGATCCATCGGCTGGCGGTATTGCCGGCGTTTGGCTGAAGGACGTCTTCCCTTCAGAGGGGGCGGTGTTTGCGCACTTGGCGCTTTTATTCAAATTGTAAACTCTCTCTAGTTTTAAGGCGAGAGCGGGAGCCAATAAAGCTTTCGTTCGTTAATACAAATTAGTATTAAAACGAGGACGGAAGCTAACTTCGGCCAAAGTTTTAATACCCTTGCAGACTTTGCCGAAATTGCTAAAACTGAAAAAGTAGCGAAAGGAATAAGGTATACATAAATAAACTAGATTTGCATCGTTTGATGTCAATTGCTTTTATACTCTGTCGACGGTCAAACATTGTTATCCATAGGTAGAATAAGTATTGTAAGAGAAATCTAGTATTTGTTAATTTATCCGAACTTGTATGGATTTCGTGGCCCGTGAAATGTGGGCTTACTAATCTCGGTAACATGGATGCCGCCAGAAATTGTCCTTCTCATTGTCTTGTGAATTGTAGGAGGGCACACTGCGGTAAGCTTAAGTTAGTTTGAAATGTATGAGTCTGATTTGAATTGTTAACAGAATAAAACGCGCAACTGCCATACACGACACGGCGCACGACGCCCCTGAAGTCACCCTCTCTTCGGACCTACGCGTGAGGGGTAGCCGTTAAAAAGGCAACTCCATATGATGCAAGACAACTCCTTTTATTCGCAGGAGGACGGTATGACTACCAGCTAGAGAGTTGCCAGGAGCATTTCCCGTACCAGTAGAGGAGTCGCAGACAGCGACATAGAGGAGCGCAGACAGCGCCGAACACTGGGTACGGAGGGAGACGCAGACAGCGTAAATTAAGGAGACGCAGACAGCGTCAGTTAAGGAGACCGCAGGCAGCGGTCAGAAGGCGCAAGGAGCGCCAAGCATCGGCGGCCGCAGGCAGCGGCCAGAAGGCATAGGTGCCGCCATTTTGGAGAGCGCCGAGGAGCGCCATATTTGGACCTTGGGATGCAGCATTCCCCCAAGAGGAGTACGCGGCTGAAAGGAGGGGAAGCCCCCCCTACGGCAGCGCGAGTGGATCAGCAGTCAGTGAGTAGTGGAGCAGAAAACCGGCCGCGAGTGAAAATAACCTCGGCGGCGGCCATTTCGAGCCCAGCCACTACGGTGACTACGGTCGCGTCCAAACCCGGAGGCACTGCTGTCACAGCTGCGGAGATGAGCCAGTCCCTCACGTCGGACCTTCTGAAAAGGATCGCGGCGTTTGAGGAGGAGCTGAAGCAGGTTAGAGCCCTGAGCAGTACGAGCACCGCCAATTGCGCGCCAATCGCAGTTGGCCCAAGCGCAGACGGCGCCAACAGTGGAGCGTCGGGGCGGCCGCCATCTTGGAGCGTTCCGCTACTAGCCACATCTAACGGTGAGGCCTCAACTAACGGGGTCGGGCCGGTCCCACATAGCGGTGTCGGTGCGAACAGTGCGGCCTGCACGCTGCCGCCATCTTGGAATGGACCGCCATTGCTAAAGACTTGCAGTCATCTTGTGGAGCCACTGTGTGCTACAAGTGTTGCGCAGACAGCGCATGGATTCGTGCCACCGGGCGGGAGCATCCACAACGTGGCAACAGCATCGCCATTTGTCGGATCCTACGCCTCGATGACGCCGAATGGAATCCAAGGATCGTATGGGCCAAGGAGGCTTCCGGACCTGCCTGTATTTGGAGGGCAGCCCGAGGAGTGGCCGATCTTTAACTGTGCGTTTGTGGAGACGACCCAAGCATACAACTGCACAGACTTGGAGAACAACCAGAGGTTGTTGAAGGCGCTGAAGGATGAAGCACGCGAGACAGAGAAGTCGCTGCTGATTCACCCTGTGAACGTCAGCGCCGTGATGGAGCAGCTGCGCTTTAGGTTTGGCCGACCGGAGCAGCTTATACGCAGCCAGCTGAACAGTGTGCGAGAGGTGCCGCCGATTTCGGAGCAGCACCTGGCGAGGATCGTTCCCTTCGCAACCCGAGTGAGTAACCTCACGGCCTTCTTGCAGTCAGCGAAGGCGGAGCAGAGCCTGTGGAACCCAACGCTAATGGAGGAGCTTGTGGCAAAGCTTCCTACGAGCATGCGAGTGGACTGGGCCAGGCACGCTGCATCGATCGAGCCCTTCCCTACTGTAGCGCACTTCAGCGCGTGGCTACAGGAGTACGCAAACGTTGTGTGTACGGTTTTGGATGTCGAGGGAAAGGAGCCGAGGCGTCGAGTTCTGCATGCGAGCGTCGACCAGAACGGATGCGATCAACAGGATGATCGGCATGGAGGTTGTCCAATCTGTGGAGGGCAACATGATGCGACGAGCTGCAGGGAGTTCATTGGAGCTTCGCCACCAGACAGGTGGGGCATGGTGAAGAGGCATCGGCTCTGCTTCACATGCTTACGGAGTGGACATACGACCAGATCCTGCGATGCATATGGCGAGTGCCAGGTCAACGGATGTCGTAGATTGCATCACCGTCTGCTACATGGCGCGGACGAGGAGCGAAGATGGCCGGCGCGAGGTGGCTTTAGGCGCCACAACGGAGGAAACCAGCAGTCAGCAGTTTTCCGACGCGGCCCGGATAGGAGATCTTCGCCACGAGGTGGTTACAGGGACCACGAGGGGAGCCTGCAGTCGGCTGCCCCTAGAAACAGCCTGGAGAGAAGGGCCCCGCAGGCAGCGCCCGTGCAGAGGAATTTAAGCTGCGTTGACGCCGAGGGAGGCCGACTTCTGTTCCGTATACTGCCAGTAACGCTGTACGGAGCTGGTCGCCAGGTGGACACATACGCGCTCTTGGATGAGGGATCCTCCGTCACGATGATCGATGACGAGCTACGGAGGGATCTGGGAGTGCGAGGCGAGCGTCGACAGCTAAACATTCAATGGTTCGGAGGAAGGGCCAGTAGAGAGCCCAGTAACGTGGTGAGCCTGGAGATAAGTGGAGCTGGGAAGCCCACTCGCCACGCGTTGAGGAACGTGTACTCCGTTTCCAGCCTGAGTCTGCCGATGCAGACGTTAGGCCGACGAGATGTCCAAGGCGTGCATACGGATGCGCGTCTGCCGATGAAGCCCTATACCAATGTGGTGCCCAAGTTGCTCATCGGACTGGATAATGGACATTTAGGATTGCCAATTAGGACGAGACGGTTTGCCAGAGAGGGACCGTATGCGGCCGCAACCGAACTTGGATGGGTTGTTTTTGGGCCAGTAAGTGGACAATCGACTACGCCGTCACCGAAGTCCTGCCTACTTGCCGTGTCAATGGACGACACGATGGAACAGATGGTGGAGGACTACTTCGAGATGGAAAGCTTTGGCGTGAAGCTCGCGCCACAGGTCGCAGGCAGCGATGACGCGCGGGCACAAAGGATCCTCGAAGACACCACGGTGAAAGTAGGGCGTCGCTACCAGACGGGATTACTCTGGAAGGACGACTACGCTGTGCTGCCACGGAGCTACGAGATGGCGCACAGACGGCTGATCAACGTCGAGAAGAAGTTGAAGCGCAACAGGCAGCTGGAATACGATCGTATCATCAAGGATTACGTAGCCAAAGGATTTGCGAGGAAGCTGCAGCATGATGAGGTCGCGGTGACGAGCGACCGGCTATGGTATTTGCCACATTTTGGTGTCAAAAACCCGAACAAGCCCGGTAAGGTCCGGCTTGTGTTCGATGCTGCAGCCAAGGTTGGAGGAACCTCTCTAAATTCGGCGCTGGACAAGGGGCCTCAGCATTACAAGCCCTTGCCAGCCGTGCTCTTCCACTTCAGGGAAGGAGCAGTCGGAGTCTGCGGTGACATCAAGGAGATGTTCCACCAAGTGCTGATCCGACCCGAGGATCAATGTTCCTAACGATTCCTTTGGAGAGATGGCAACGACGATCGAGACCCGGATGTGTACGAGATGAACGTAATGACGTTTGGAGCAGCCTGCTTGCCGAGCGCTGCGCATTACGTGAAGACGGTGAATGCCCTGAAGTTTCGGGATTCAGACCCGAGGGCAGTTAAGGCCATCATCGACCACCACTATGTCGATGACTATGTGGACAGTTTCGCTACAGAGAGTGAAGCTATCAGTGTATCTACCCGAGTGAAAGAGATACATGCGGAGGCTGGATTCGAGTTATGCCAGTTTTCATCCAGCTCACCCATCGTGGAAGCGGCGTTGGGACCACCTGGACGAGTCAAGAGCGTCTGATGGGGTGAGGCTGAGCAGAAGATCCTTGGAATGCGATGGCAGGTAGCCACGGACGACTTCACGTTCAATGTGGGGTATCACCGAGTGCCAAGTAGCGTTCTAAGTGGAGATCGAGTCCCTACAAAGAGGGAGTATTTGAGCCTGCTGATGTCAACGTTCGACCCATTGGGATTCCTGTGCTGCCTGATGATTACAGCGAAGCTGCTGTTGAGAGAGATCTGGAGGCAGAAGATCCAGTGGGACGAACCACTACCAGAGGAGATAGGCAAAGCCTTTGCAGCCTAGCGCAGGTAGATGGACGCCGTGGGACAGTTCCGATGTCCTCGCCAATATTTTGGTCGTGGAGCGGTTCGGACCATCGAGGTGCACGTGTTCGTGGATGCAAGTCAATCTGCTTTCGCGGCGGTGGCCTATTGGAGGGTCACGTACGAGGATGGAAACGTGCTGGTTAGCTTCGTGTGGGCAAACACGAAGTGCGCACCCATGAGAACGATGTCGATCCCAAGGCTAGAGCTGCAGGCAGCGGTTCTTGGAACCAGACTGATGAACACTGTCAGGGAGGAGCACAGTGTGGACACCAGCGAGACGGTGTTATGGACGGACTCAAAAACGGTGCTGAGATGGATCGGCAGCACCCACCGCCGGTACAAGCAGTTTGTTGGCAACCGAGTGGCGGAGATTTTGGAGTCGTCGAAGGTTTCCCAGTGGCGATGGGTACCTACAGCTGACAACGCAGCGGATGATGCGACGCGGTCGCAGAATAAGGCGGACCTTGGCCCGGAATTACGGTGGCTAAGGGGACCCGCATTTTTGAGGCAGCCTGAGAGCGGCTGGCCGGCGCCTGAGGAGGGAACTAAGCGTGTTCCAGATGCGCCTGATGAAGAGGAGATGCCCAGTGAGTTTGCATTGGTGGCCACAAATGAATTTGTCATTCCGTTTCAGAAATACTCGAGCTTCAGTCGCCTGGTGAGGACCACAGCCTGGGTCTTAAGGTTTGCGCGCTGATGCCGCAAGCAGAGAAGCGAGCTCGAGGAGTACGGACTCACTGCAACGGAGTGTGAGGCCGCGGAGAGCCTGTTAGCCAGACAGGCCCAATTGGAGTCGTTCCCCGACGAGATGAGGTCGGCGGAATGCGGAAAGAACGTCGCCAGGTCGAGTGAGATTCGAGGTCTGGCGCCTTACGTGGATGAACACGGAGTTCTGCGAACTTATGGAAGAGTTGATGCCGCGCTGTGCATGCCGTACAGTGCGAGGAGGCCCGTAATACTGTCACACAGGCACAGTCTTACGGAATTAATTGTGAGGCATTTTCACGCCAAAATGAAGCATCAAAATGTGGATGCGACGATTGCTCAGATCCGGACGAGATTCTGGGTAACGAGGATGAGACGAGTGATGAAGGAAGTAATCTCGTCGTGCAACGAGTGTAAGTTGCAGCGCACGCGGCCGATGCCGCCGATAATGGGACCCCTTCCAGAGGATCGATTGGAAGCAGGGGGTTGTCCATTCAAGTACACCGGATTGGACTACTTTGGGCCACTGCTGGTGACTGTATCCCGCAGAGAGAAACGTTGGGTCGCCTTGTTTACGTGCCTGACGACAAGGGCGATTCATCTGGAGCTGGCGCATGACCTGTCAACGGATTCCTGCATAATAGCGATCAGGAACTTCGTCTGCCGTAGAGGACCAGTACAGAGGCTGCGGAGTGATAACGGCAAGAACTTTGTGGGAGCTGACAGGGAGGCCAGACGATGCGGACCAAGAGGCGCCGTTGACGCCAAACGACCTGCTCAAGGGAGCAGCTAATTTGCCGAATACGCCTGGATTGGATGCGGAGCTACCCAAGGAGGGTTCTACACGAAAGCAGTGGAGGATTGCTCGCATGCTGCGAGACCGTTTCTGGAGGAGGTGGGTCCTGGAGTACCTGCCTACGCTTGTGCGCTGAGAGAAGTGGTGCCGGAGAACGGAGCCCATCCGCCAGGGCGATATGGTCTTCGTCTGCGATCCTGCCTTGCCCAGACGAGAGTGGCGCAAGGGCATCGTGGAGGAGATATACAGCGGAGCTGATGGAGTCGTCAGACGCGCTACAGTGCGCGTGAACGACAATGGCCTATCTCGGACAACGTTGCGGCCCGTCTCAAAACTCGCGGTTTTGGATTTGAGTGAAGCGGTTCTTCACGGGGTCGGGGATGTCGACGGTCAAACCTTGTGATCGATAGGTAGAATAAGTATTGTAAGAGAAATCTAGTATTTGTTAATTTATCCGAACTTGTATGGATTTCGTGGCCCTTGAAATGTGGGCTTACTAATCTCGGTAACATGGATGCCGCCAGAAATTGTGCTTCTCATTGTCTTGTGAATTGTAGGAGCTTAAGTTAGTTTGAAATGTATGAGTCTGATTTGAATTGTTAACAGAATAAAACGCGCAACTGACACACACAACACGGCGCACGCCGCCCCTGAAGTCACCCTCTCTTCGGACCTACGCGTGTGGGGTAGCCGTTAAAAAGGCAACTCCATATGATGTAAGACATACTCCAAAAATGTCATATAAAAATAGAGAAAAAGGGATACTTTCGCAGCCTTTAACAATTTTTACTACTGAAGCTATAAGATATAGACGTCCGATCGGCAAGCGCTTTTACCCTAATCAAGATATGCGTAAATAAATAAGACTTCGAAAAATTTATGTCAGTAGCTTACACACTACGCGAAAAATTCAGAAAATCATCAAATGTGGACCGATTTCACCCTATTGTTCCTATGGGAGCTATAGGATATAGACTTCCAATCGTCACGCGCTTTTACCCTAATCAAGGTATGCATAAAAAATACGATTTGGAAAGATTCATGTCAAAAGGTTATATACTGCGCGAAATATCCTAAAAATCATTAAATTTTAACCGATTTTACCCTATTGTTCCTATGGGAGCTATAGGATATAGACGTCCGATCGTCACGCTCTTTTACCCTAATCAAGGTATGCATAAAAAAATACGATTTGGAAAGATTCATGTCAATCGATTATATAATTTGCGAAATATCCTAAAAATCATTAAATTTTAGCCGATTTCACCTTATTATTCCTATGGGAGCTATAGGATATAGACGTCCCATCGCCAAGCGCTTTTACCCTGATCAAGGTATGCATAAAAAAATAATATTTGGAAAGATTTATGTTAATAGCTTTTACACTGCGCGAAATATCTTTCTATGGGAGCTATAGGATATAGACATCCGATCGGGGCGGTTTTCAAACTTGATCTGCGTACACATGTTTTAGGACAACTGTGAAAGTTCAGACCGCTAGCTTTTAAACTGAGCTCGTAAACGGTATTGAAACAGACGGACAGACGGACGGACGGACGGACGGACGTCGGGCAGACGGACATGGCTATATCGAGAACATCTACACTTAAACATTTTTTACGCTGATAAAAAATATTTTTAACCTACATTGACGCAAAGGTATATCCAAAGCATTCATTTTGAAACAAATGAAAAACCAATAGACAAACAATAAAATAAAAAACGAAAGGGTTTCTGAAATATTTAAGGTAGCGCAATCAAAAATGCTTGAATCACATAACCAAAACAAAAAATCAAAAGAATATGAAGGAGAACAAGTAATATATGAAAACAAGTACGGGAAACGAAATAAATTAAAACCAAGATACAACAAAAAAAGAAGCAAACTTTATATACACTTGTCGTTTTTACAAAACGACTACATTTCGATTTATATTCCTCTATTACTAAAAACAATGAAGCTATGTTGATTTTGCGCTGCAATTGGCCATCGTTTCTATGGCAGCTATATGATATTGTTGTCCAAACAAAAAAAAAAAATTAAAAACAACAAAGTTAAAATTTTTTTGAATTTTTTTTTCCGATTGTTCCTATGGGAGCTATATGAAATAGTCGCCCGATCCGGCTCGCTCCGACTTATATACTACCTGCGATAGAAAGACAACCTTTGGGAATGATTCAAGCAAATAAATAGCCTTAAAACTAAGGGACTAGTTTGCGTAGAAACGAATGGACGGACAGACGGACAGACAGACATGTCTGGTAATGCTGATCAAGAATATATATAATTTATAGGGTCGGAAATGTCTCCTTGACTGCGTTGCAAACTTTTGAATAAAATTATAATACCCTCTGCAAGGGTATAAAGAAAACAAAGCTAATAAAGTAATAATAAATAATAGAAATAGAATTATACACAAATAATAATAATATTAAGTATTAAAATATTCATATAATATTTATACGCAGATCTTTATCATATCACTAATATAAGCTTAAAGAAATTATTAAGGAAGAATTAGAAAGCTTAGAAGAATTCTGAAATGATCAGTTCCACTGGGAGTTGACTAACAACCTAAAAACCATGATGATTTTAAAACAATTCAAGACAAAATTAACGATGTAATTAAAAATAATAATAAGCAATAGATAATAAATTCGAAATTGTTTGACGAAGTTAAGAAATTATCTACCACATTAAATTCAGTTTCACCCATCAAGAAATACCTTTAAGAAATAACCTTTAAGAAAACACCGCTTACGCCTAATTACTCTTGATTTGCAAAATTTAATTGAGACCATTACTTTAGCAAAAATCGACATTTTTAACACAAAAATATAAAACCATGACGATATTCAAGAAATTAATAAAGATGAGGAAAAACCTGTCATGATCACAGACCTAATGGATATTTCCGAATTTAAAATTGCACTACACAAAGAATTATTTGTAATTTATTTGTTTTTTGGATCATCAAAATAAAATAAAGAAAATATTTTTTTTAAAAAAATCAACGAACTAATAAATTTAATTTGCGGGTAATTTTTCGGTGTGGGCTTGTAATGTTTGTGGCGTTAAGACCAAGACTTGGGCTTTGGCCGACAACTATGGGTGCAGAAACATCGAGTGAAACATCGATAACATCGATGTTTTCAAAACATCGACACCATCGATGGTTCGTGACCACCATCGATGTTGACACTTGCGACCCCTTAAAGTATTGGGAGGTATGATTTTCAAATAATTATGTCAAACATGTTAAAAAAGAAATATTTTTTACAGATGACAGAAGACAACGAATTAAAATTGGTTGCAAAAAAATATTTCTATGTACAAGCTTCGTCCTGTGAGTCTGAAAGGGTGTTCAGCAAAGCTGGACAAACTGTATCTGAACAGAACAAGGCTTAAACCTGATGTTGTTGATCAACTTCTTTTCCTCAACAAAAATAGACACTTTAAATGATCTCAAATAAACCTCATTGTTATCGTTTGTACTGTTTTGCCTTTTATTTTTTTTTTTTAACATCGATGTTTCACTCGATGTTTTTTTTGAAAACATCGAAAACATCGATGGGCACGAACATCGATGTTTCTGCACCCCTACCGACAACCCTTCGTGATGGTGTAGATCCGCGCAGTCTACGGTCTCTGGAACCTCTGCTTTCCGGGATGCGATTAACCCCTCCAGCACAGTCGAAAAACAGTTTTGCCGAACCCTAATGGCAACAAATCACTTACTGTATATCACTGACTAATTTTCACTGTTTTTTTTCCCCTTATAAATGTTATACCTTTTTAGAGGGCTCGGCAACACAAATGTCAATGCCATTCCATTCCCGGCCCAACTGAATGATACGACTTTTATCAAACACTCGCGAATCGATTGGCTTTTAGACAGTCTTTTGATTTAATCAAAGATTTTCTTACTATTTTACTTAAAACCGCTGAGCTGATTCGACTGAATCCTAAGGCCGTCAAAACTGAATAGAACGAATAGACGCCCCGAACCCATAACGCTAACGTTAATTGATCTTTCCAGTTGGACCGTCGACCTCTACTTTTAACACCTCTCTCCTAGATGGCGCCTGCAACCTCGATTTTCTCTCTCATAGGGGGCGGTACTATCAGCTTATTCTGGTGAGACAAGCTTTACAATGAGCATCCGCCGATTAAATGATTGACTAGAGGCCGGCTAGAAGAAGAGAAGAGCTTTCAATAATAACCAAGGCAAAAATATTGTCGCTTTCTTGGCCGTGAAGACCGCGAGCAAAACCAAAATAATAGGATCAGCTTCTGGAGCCCCAATTCGAGCTCGACTTCTGAATTTGGCATTGCCGAAATTCAGCGGCAAATATTCGAAGTTTAAAAATTTCATTAACCTTTTCGAAACTCTCGTTCATCAAGACGACGGCATTCCCGTTTTTGAAAAATGCAATCACAATTTAAACTGTTAAGGCCTACCAAGTCACCGAAAGCAATTATGAAAAGGCCAGCCTGAAAAAATGTATTGTATGAAAACGAAGTTTTCATTTTTATGAATAATACTTCAACAGTCTTCCGAAAGTATCGGAACAGTCAGCGTCGGCTTTAATAAATAATATCGATACTGTATCATCAATATACGGTTCTTTGTTATCGATAGGAGACAACACCAAGATTTCGAATGTAATGTTGATCTATCTTGTCTTGAACAGAGTCGACCCACTAATCAAACAAAAATGGGAAGAACAATTAGATTATGAAAGGTTACCGCTCTGGTCCGATTTTGAGAAAATGTTAAACCGCCGATACCAGCATTTATCCGCTGAAGAATCGACGAACCCAAAGCAAGATAAAGTTATGTCTAGCAAGCCACATAATCGTAGCTCTTTTTCTTGTTCTTCGTCAGTAAATCAGTAAATCCCAGCAAAGTTGTAGCTATTGCAATGCAGGAGACCATATTCTAGCGAACTGTGGTCCGTTTGGTCGCCTTTCGGTAATGCAAAGGTTCGACTTT